TTCCGAATCGGCGACCTACTCCTCTCCGGCCGATGGCTAACGGCCAACGAACTGGGTGACCTGACGGAACCCCCTCTGGACCACTGGAGTACCCTCCAGTTGCGGCACTTTCTCCTCTCCATACCCAACCATCAGCAGATCTCCAGACCTTTGACACAATTCGAACAGACTTGTAAGGAGGAGATACCTACCCGACATGCGATATCCTCTTTATACTCTATGTTGATCTCGCCCCCCCCGGAGACCTATCCGACATTCCTGGCCAAATGGGAAAGTGACCTCAATACCACCTTCACGTCAGCTCAGAAAGACTGCATACTCCATCTAGCACATCACTCCTCCATCGCTTCTAAGACCCAGGAACTGGGCTATAAAATTGCCTCCCGGTGGTACCGGGTCCCTACAGTCCTCCATGCCATGTTTCCTCAAGTATCAGCATTATGCTGGAGATGCCACAATGCCCCGGGTACGATACTCCACATATTTTGGGCCTGCCCACTACTGCTCCCTTTCTGGGGGGGGGGTTAGCTGTCCTGAGGGACCTGGTGATGGTGGACTTGACGGACAACCCCGCAGCTTGCTTGCTGCACTTAAGCACCCTGCCCATTAGGAAATATAAAAAATCACTGTCGAGACACCTCCTGAATGCTGCTCGCCAATGCATCCCTCTGCTGTGGAAACAGACCACCTGCCCTACCCTTAAGTTATGGTTCACCAAGGTGGACGAGATATACCTGATGGAAAATCTAACCTCCACACTTCGGAATACTGAAGAGCTCTTTCGATCCACCTGGAGACCATGGGCCTCTTTTCAGGGCACGGATGAGTACCTTCGGGCCATGCTCGTGATGCCCCCCTGAGCGCTGGAATAGACCCAGATCCTAGGTGCTTGACCCACACACACCCGCTCCCCCCTTACCCCATCTGGCCTCCCTCGTCTCTCCCCTGGTGTACCCCCCTATACTTTTCCTTCTGATCCAACCCAGTCCTCCTTCTCCCCGTGTCCCTTACCTTTGCTAAGCTCATACATACTCCTGCATAGGTGCCTTTGCATGCAGGGAAACGCTCCTCTAGTGTCTTATCTCTCGATATTTGTTGTACCGATACACGGAGCACCACAGTGTCAACCGTGTAATTTCAACCTGACTACATTTTTTACACCACCTGTGCTCCTACTATACATCTCATCGCCTAGATGACACTAGGAAGGCAGTAATAGCAGATTGACCAATGTATCCATTGAGCCAAACCACTACCCTGTAACTGTAATGTGCACATTGTACTGTATGCTTGTATTTGTGTTTCTCTACACCCCTGATTTCCTCAGGAGATGTGTAATGATGTTGGGGCGACCGCCCCCCTGTACCGTTGTACTAAGCACTTGTCAAATAAAGTTGACTTCTGATTTAAAAAAAAAAGGAATAGCCTCTCCAAAAGAATTTGGTTCCATAATAGAAAAATGTGGCACATAAATCACTTGTTAGCACACACTTTCTGCATTCACACTTGGACTTTTTCCCCGAAAATCTAGGTCAGTCAATGACACCAAGACATTGTCACAATGGAAAAACAATATCAGACCAATAGAATCTATCAGCGTTGGCTAACTATTGTTGTACACTGCAACAAGATGCACCGGACACTGAGTATAAATGCAAATCAGCTGCAAAGCACTTTTAGTCCTCTTGAGTAGGGATGGGCTGCACGTTCGAGTCGAACCTATGTTCGACTCGAACATAGCATGTTCTAATGTTCGGCGAGCGCCGAACATTATAGGATGTCCTCGTTCTGTTCGACCGCGGGACATCCCACAATGCACTGCGCCGTCCGAAACGGTAATTGGCTACAGTCTTGCACCTGACCGCAGGTCAGGTGCAAGACTGTGCCAATCAGGGCTCAGTACAAACATAGAGCCATGATTGGGCAAAGTCACGATGACTTTATTTTTTAAAAGTGTTTTTTTCATTGATACATGTCCCCCAGGGCAGTACCCGGATCCCCATACACTTTTTATGGCCAATTAATTGCATATAAGGCTTCAAAATGGGGACATTTAATTTTCTGAGTTCTACCCCCATAGACTTGCATTGAGTTCTAAGTTCGAATTAGAACTTTTTCCATGTTCGAAAGTTCGAGTTAGAACCGAACACGGGGGTGTTCGGCTCATCCCTACTCTTGAGCTTTTTCTACGTATTGGAAGCTATACACTATATATAAATTAACATTATGCAATGAAACACATTATTGTGACTAAAAGTTAATTTCATACTGTATTTCTCAAGATTTCTAAGGGATACAGCCATTCTAAAATGATATTTATGTTTGGTTTGATAATTGTAATCACCAAATGTTTTTCACAAATCAAAAACTTTGAAAAGATTTGTTGTTTAGTGTCATTTGTCAACAATTTCAGTTTCTCTCTCTAAAATTTATATTTCAAATGACTGCTTATTATAATTCGGAAACTGCAATTCGGATTTCGTATGCTTACGAATCTACGAATTTCAGGAAAATTCGTACGAATTTCGATTCGTAACGAAACGAATCGCACATGTCTACTGCTAATTTGTTCAGGACCAAGAAAGGGCTTTTTATGTTTAAAAAGAACATTAGAACAAGACTGCAGTTTACCATTGAACATATAGACAAAGACTAGGCCTTTTGGAACAATTTTCTGTCGACTGACGAATCAAAGATAGAGTTGTTTGGCCAGAGTAACCATTGCTATGGTTTGGGATTGCTTTGTTGCTTTAGGGCCTGGGTAGCCTGCAGTTAGTGAGTCAACTGTGAATTCTGCATCATATGAATGTGTGCTTGAAAGTGTGAGGCCATCTGTCTGGCAGGTAAATGGGGCCGTGGTGGTGCCTGGCATCGCGGGGGAGGGGTGGTTGCTTGAGAGTTACTATTAATTATCCAGCACCTACCAATCCTTGCAGGTGCCAGATAACTGGAAGTTACTGTATTAACAGAAATGTAGCTGACTTGTGTATCATTTGGCTCATCTCTGAATTTGTGCTGACACTGTCCTTCCTTCTGGAGGGTGGCTACTTTTGTTCTGTATGGTCCCTGTGTGTGTTGTAAAGTAGCCACTGCTCCAAGCTCACTCCTGTGATGGACTACAATCTCATGTTTCATTAGCTAATTTGTTTTGAAGTTATAGAGCAGTGGCTACTTTACAACACACACAGGGCTCATAGGGAACAAAAGTAGCCACCCTCCAGAAGGAAGGACAATGTCAGCACCAATTCAGAGATGATTTGAGGATCTACAGCTGAGTGATACACAAATAAGATCCATTTTTTGTTAATAAGGTACTTTAGTGCATTTTTAAGATTTAATTCCTGAGTTTAGTGTCACTATAACTGCCAGAGAAAGAAGAATATATATATGTGTATATGTCTAGCCTCTTATCTGCTGGAAAGCAATGTGTGGGCCTCTTGCAAACCTGTAATTTGTGAGTCACATTCCATACATGTGTGTTTCCCCATTTCTGGATCAGGCGAAACAAAAATTCCTAAAATTATTGGCCAGTGTGCTGGAAATTTGTTGTGCATCATGACCTGGCCTGTTTGCCTTTTTCCTTTGTGTTCCTCCTTATACCCAAGGCACTTCTTTTTTTACATTTTTTGCATATTCTCTTAATTTTTATTTCTTCATATTTAAAAAGACAAGGAGGGGGATTCTTCAAAACTGAACTGGAGCAGGCAGAATCTGAAGCAGTTGCCCATGGCAACCAATCAGCATCTCTCTTCAGTTTGCTCAGGTAAGATTAAAAAATGAGACAGAGAAGCTGATTGGTTGCGATACAAATCTGCTCCAGTTTTGATATATTCCCCCCCTTGCATTTTCAGTTTTCTTGTTTAATGCTGCAAAATGAAGTAGAGGTTTTAGTTCTTTCAAAATTTAACTGATGCTAGGACAGCTACTATTGCTTCAAATAATAACATTTATGTTAATATTGATTTTATTTTAGACATGCCCCTTAAAGTACATTTGTAATGTGTTATAAATCACTGAAGTGGTGCAGTGAATAACAGTGAATAAAATGCAGATCTAAAAGTGCCTATTCATACCTTTAGGCATCTTTATGAGCTTCTCAAGAGCCCAAAAACTAGGAAGCTCTATTTCTTGTGCCTTTTATATTGGTCATTGGCCAGTCATGATGATAGGCCTATAGTGACTTGCATGAGAAGGCAGCTTAGCTCCTGACTTTTCCAGCAGAAGTTTGAATATGAACAGTAGAGTGCCCTGATTTCAAAGCTCCAATTCACTCATGAACATGTTGAAAACCATTGCAGTCACCTCTAATGTTATAAGTTAAACAGAGATGACAATTTTTTTTTCATACCACAACCACATCCAAGACATTTATTTGCAGTGCACCACAAATAGCTAACTCGTTTTTAGAGCTCCTTTCTCAGGGAATATTTTAATTAGTACCACCCAGTTATAGAGAGAGTGAATGTATCCCTTTTATACACTATTTTGCAACACCTATGTATAATTGTATTTCTTAATAATGCTAGGTTCTGTATAACTGATATAGATAAATATTCACATATTCTACAAAATGACTGATGAATAGAGTGAATAAGAGAAACTGCACATAACCTAGATATGGTTGTTGTCTAAGTTCCTCTTGTGTAAATTTGTTTTAAAGGAAACTTGTCCTGAGAGAATCATAGAGGTTGCCATTGCTGACCTGCCCATACAAAATTTCTGCTTGTGTGACTGTCATGCTGACACTCTTACTTTATTACTTTGACTCATACATACGCAACAAGTATGCAGCTCTGACTTTACACGGACCATCGTGATCTGCACACATGTTCTGGGTCTGTGAGTCAAAAAAATCATAAAGCCGGTGGGTGTGCCAAAAAACAGGTAAATACCATTTATAAAGGGAGATCAGCAATGGCAACCCAATATACCTATTAAAACCAGTTTATTTTTTTATTTATTTTTTAATATATTAATTTGTCTTTGTTTTTCTATAACAGTATGTCCCTATTAAACCACAGTTGTGACCCAAACTGTGTGATAGTGTTTGAAGGAACATGCTTGCAACTCCGTGCAGTAAAGAAAATACCAAAGGGTGAAGAGGTATGATAATTAACTTATTCTTCTTCCTGTCATAGACACCTGAAAGAGTCAACTTCCATCCATTTACATTCCTGAGAGCTGCCTCATTTCTGAATGTTGGGTAAATCATCATTCACCACTCATATCTCTCATACATAGAAACGACAATGCATGAATCATTTCTTTACTTGCTGCTAGGCTATCTGTGTCATTTAGTTATAAATTATCCCTATTCATGATACATTTCTTTGTATGTCCTCATCCCCTGTATGAGGGATCCGGACATTTTTTCATATTTCATTTTCTTTTAAACATATGAAAAAGCACTTAAAAAACCTACAGCAGCTTCCACTAATTATCACATATTTAATCTTTCTTGCAGTGGCTTTTTTGCAGTAAATCTGCCGGTCTCAGGGAGGTAAAAAAGACAATTTGTAAAGCAATATCTTGGGAAGAGTTGATTTAGCTCACCTGCTAAGTTTAATGTACTGCTTTAATAGTTAATCTAATAAGAAAAATATAACCCTTACTTGTCCATCTATAATAGAACTGTCTACAGTTGGCATATATTTGACTATTTAAAGGACATTTGTTTGCAGCTGTCTGCATTAAGCGGTAGAGTGCACAGACCCTGCATGCCACATGCTGAGAGTTTCCCCCAAAAAAGTACAAATATGTAAAAAGTAATTTTGATTCTTTCCATGGATTACACTTTGTGTTGCCATAAACATGGAATTGGGCTTTAAAGTACTGTATATTTAAAGCTAAACCTGTTATTTTTAAGTTTTGGATAGAGTAGGGAATGGCTAAAACACATGTCAAGATTTTTTGCTCTCTGTTTCCAATTGAGGATGCAGAATGTCACCGCTACACCGAAGAAATGTATCCAAAAAAGGTCTTTATAGACGTATATGCATTTTGTCACAAGAATAGCATGTTTCGGGGCCACACAGGGCCCCTTCATTAGGCTCAATTTGACCATAGGGGACACAATAGGAAGTAAGAGGAGATCTCTGAAAGTATTAAAAATCCTCAAAGACTGACAAATTGCCAGTGGCAGGATCACTGAGGCTGTCTATATGTCCTTTATCAAATTGCTCCCTCTGTATCCAGACGCAGCGAGATGTCACTGCTGATCTGAACACTGCAGAATCTCACTAGTGATGGGAGCGACATCTCGCTACCTCTGCTACAGAGGGAGAAATTCTATAGGGGCAAACAAGCAACCTCTTAGTGATCCTGCCTTATGACATCAGCCTTAGAAAGCTATCACCAGAACAAGTGTTCCCATTAGATAATTTACCCTCTATTCCTGTTCCTGTGACAACTCAATATTTAGGACTTTCCCTCACTTCTGGTCCAAGAGGTAATGGGTAACAGGACAAATAGAGAGGGTGAATCACCCCAAGGGGTACACAGCCAGCCATTAAAAACTGACAGAGGTTTTAATCTTTCCACACTCTTCCCAAAATAAAAAGAAACATTGCCTTTAGGCACACTTTAAGTAATATTAACACGTTGGGTAATTGGTATGTATATAACGGCATTACATAATAGCTTTATTGGAATCCATGAGCTTATGTAAGTATCAAGGGCACATTATAAATGCTTACTTGGAAAATGATTGAAAGAAGAGTATGTAGTTAGTAAACCGTGAAGGTCAATGGGGAACGGATAAGAAATCTTGGGGTCAAGTGTATGGAACAAGTAGAAGTATAATGAAATGTATTTTCTTTCAGATTTTGTATGGGATGGAAAAAATACAGAACAATCTGTCTTGGCAGCCTTGTTATTTTCACAGTAAATAGCAGAAACATCAGATAACAAACAGAAAGTACAGAGCTAAAAATGATTTTGCTCACAGAATTTAGAATAGTAGCCATAGTGAGATATAACCTGTAGGACAGGGGTAGCCAAACTCCGGCCCTCCAGCTGGGGTGGAACTCCAAGTCCCATGAGGCATTGCAAGATTCTCACAGCCACAGGCATGACTCCCGGAGAGTGATGCATCATGGGATTTGCAGTTTCACCACATCTGGAGGGCCAGAGTTTAGCTACCCCTGCTGTAGGAGATCAAATACATTTAGTATGATTTATTCAAGACACCCTATACCAGTGATTTTATGACATCATTTAAAGCATAGTTCTCCTAAAAATTAGTATTAACACATGAAATAACAAAATACAAACATTGCTTAGGACTCGATCATATTGTACGCATATGTCATGGTGTTTTTCATTATTTGGATTAAATGGGGTTGATTTACTTTAGGAGTAGTGGATTACTATCATGTTTGAAAAACTTCACCGGTGCAGCTAGAAACCACAAGTGAGTAGAACCACTAGTGGTGAGGCACAAGCTAATTGTAAGTGTAAATGTTACATATTTTCTATAGAGGTGCATCGAAATGAAAATTTCAAAACTGAAACGAAACCGAAATGAAAAAAATAATGTCAGGCTAAATCCGAAACGGAAAATATTTTTTTCTAACTTTTTCAATTTTTAAAAAATATTTTACTTTTATTTACTTTTTATAAACTTTTTCATTTGTTTTATATTTCTTTTTTATTCATTTATTGTTATTAAATATTTTTACTTTTTTACTTTACTGTTGGGGGCTTCGAGGAAATATTACGGGTCTAAACTGATATTTCCCTTTTTAAAATAGAAAAAGAGATTGAAAACAGATTCCTAAATCTTTTTTCCGGCAGCCCCTGTTATAATGAACAGTGCTATCTCCAATGCTGTCAGGGTTTCTTACCCTTTCTCCTCCAGTTGCCTGAAGCATGCCTGGTTTGCAGTATGTCTCATACTGTTTGTTCCTGTTTGGCGCTCTCTTATGACCAAACACGTAAACATCATCATTTTGCAACTTCTGGCAAACTGCTGACAAATTCCTGTCTCAGAGTTATGATGCAACACCAGTTTACTATTTATCCATTAGCTGGTCCATTTAGTCTCATTTTAGCATGTGTTCAGATCTACCACGTGCTCTGCTGTTGTTCCTGTTCTCCATGTATGACCTGGCTCTGGCTGACTGATCTCCTGGTTCCTGACTCCAGCTATTGTTTCTGTTCATTCTGCTCTCAGTGTTTCCTGACCTGATTTAGCTGACTACCCACTTTGGCACCTGACCTCTGGCTTAGCATGGACAACATCCTGGACTTCCTCCATAGTTTTTTTGCCATTTTTGTTTATTGTTATTTTAAATAAGCTCCTTTTTTTTTTAACCTGCACTTTAGTTTCTGTCCAATTTCTTGGTTCCCTAACAAATACTCAGAAATGGACTCCCAAAGTTTGTAAGTAAAGGTGTGACTCCTGCTTACCTTTTTTTGATTCGTTTTTAAAGGCACTGGTTTTGATATATGCACTTCCATGATTTCTGTTATTAGCATAAGTTATCCTATCCTATATCCTATTTATCCTTGATTGGTTGACAGTTAGTCAAATGACCTTAACAGGTTATGTGACTGGTCTTTCTTAGGTTTAGCAAATCTATCTGGTGCATCTGTTTTTTAATTAGCTGAACCTGAACCCTTTTGAAGATTATGGAACCAAAAATGGTCAATGACGTCATGTTACCCAGAATGCCTGCACTGTTTACAGTTTAGCATCTGTCTAGGAGGAGATTTCCCTCACATTTCAAATATATCCTCTCACTTCCTTTTAAATCTAAAGGAGAGGAAGTGAAGGGAAATCTCCTTTAAATGAGAGGAAGTGAAGGCAAGTCTCCCAAATGAGACACTGATGTCAGCAACTTTTAAAAAATTCAATAAGGCTGGGGTTTTAAAGAAAATGGCGTTAGATTTACTTGGATATAGTATTCAACACTCAAGAGTGGGCAGGGTCTACCCATCCATATACTGCCATGAATGAGGAACAAAAAATCTAAAGCCTCATTAAACAGACCAATTTTAGATCCAGTGACATCATCACTGGGTTTCTATATTTTACTTTGTAATGCAGGACGATTTTGTTTGGTGTGAATGATGCTTCCAGAAAACATCACACATCTGGACAATCTGTCAAAAAAGTTGTATGTAAGGCAACATTGATCTACTCATGATTGTGGAGGCAGACACACATGAAATATTTCACTTGTCTGCAATTGTTTGGAAAGAAAAAAAAAAACAAACCTTATCAAAAGCCCACAAGTGGACCACGACTGCCCAGACTGACCCAAGTGACTCTGTCATGAGAGAAATATGGGTGCTGCCAGTGCTTGTCTCTCTCAGTTAATATTTGTTATGGATCCCTAATTAAACAGCATTACTGCTAAAGCATCAGGGTAACAGCCAAAGATGAGGATGTTACAAAAGGAATGCAGTATTGGTTGCCCCTATTAATTGCTCAAGACAGTTTTGGCAAACCTATGATGTATGCATCCCAATTGGTCACCTCTAGAATTCGTCTGTATACCAGAGCATCGACCTTTCACACTGCTGAACAGACGCATATTTAACAAAAACTCAGCTTCTCCTACACAGGTCAGAAAAAAACTAATATAAGATTGCTGCCTGGCAGCTAGGCATGTGCGTGATCACCATTACATCTTACTTTCCGTCAACTCTTTGTTGGATTCAGGTCTGTTACTCATGTTTCCAGACTGAAAAATGCTGCACATGCAAGATGTGCCACCTTGCAAATTACATAGCTATTAATATTCTGCTTTCAATATTAACAAGTCCACATACAACATCAATTTCTAAAAGGGGCCCGCCACTACCTAGCTGGCAGATCTCTAAAAGCCACAAGCACACTACAAACCATTGTAATCAAATACCATAGTCTGGCCTTGTTACTTTGAGCTGCTATGTCAGATTAACTATCTTCATCTAGGAGTTAGTGTAGCCCTGGCACATTTGCAACATCAATTGTAAAGGTTGTAATAATTTGATTGATCTAAGATACGAGAGAAAGTATTTTAAGTGCCCTAAGTAAACCCATGTAGCCCAGTTAATCCAAAAGCTGTCTGTCACCTCTCTATGCCAGGAGCGCATTCATTCCATTTGGTACATGA